CCAGATTATAAATCGCCATGCGGTACCATTTCGATGATGGTGGGTGGGGTTTAAGTCGCCCCGGAGCGCCACGGAAAATAATAATATCCGTCCGGTCCCCGGATAAGCTTTAGGGATTAAAATTCACTCGTAAGTGAGTGAATTAGGGAGATTATATTATTATTATAATACTATTTTAATTGCGTTTTTTATGTCAAAAATTATATACAGTTTATAATCCTAAGCAACATTAATGGCTGCTGTTTGCGTCAATTTATTGTATTAATAAAATTGGTGTTTTTGGAATAGAATAGTGGAATCTAGCTGGACTACAATTTATGGTCTACATGTTTAGTACACTAAACTTATAGCATGATTTATAGTTCCTCAGTTGAATAACTCTGCTGGTTCGGTTGTTTCTCCTGACCCTTTTTTTGGAAGTTCGTCAACCTTTTCCTTGCCTTGTTGATATGGCACTCAAACTTGTTTTACTCTATTTCAGCCTGTCAGTGTTCTCTGTTCTTCGATACATTGGCATACGATGCCTCGATGTCACTCTAAAGGTACTATTTGGGAACGCGAGATAGATGCAAGGCGACAGCGAGAGGTACCAAGGCAGCAAACACTGCCGTGTTAAAAGTGCTGTCGCGTCTCTTGCATAGGTCGCGCTGTGCCAAATGTGCTTCATTTAATTACCTTAATTTTAATTCGACTTGATGTTAAGGCCGGCCTGTCTGTGTGACATTATGGATCTGCTGATTTTCGGTAGCTCCTCCAATTGTTTGTTCTTGTACGTTGCAATATTGCATAAACCTCACCCTGAAATACTGAAACATATTTTCCTATTGCATAGCTAAGATTTGTGTTAGGATTTTTGGAGAATACTTCAGCCTCAGTGCCTTCCGCAGTTTTAGACCCGTCTTCTGTGTATCAGGTTTGTTCCTGTCCTTATGGTGATCTCTGGTCTAATTAGAATGTCTAGCACGTCCTATGTCACCTAAATATTGTGATACTTATGTAACTATTTACTTGGAAAAGATCATAAGATTGGAAAAACGAATAATCCTAACTAGCTATTACATCGAGATGTACTTTCGAAAATCTTAAAATTCGACCAGGGACCTATTTGCAACTTTGCAACACTTCACTTTATACATTACAAATTTTAGGAAATTTGTTTCATAAGAAAAGAAAATTGATATGTAAAAATGTAAAATCTGAAAAACAATTTACAACATAAATATGAAAAATTAATAATCTACAAAGTTAACTAACGTTAATGAAAAACAAATATTTTGCACTTATCACAATCGTAATTTTTTTTTATTGCACTACCCAACAGATAAATACAATTACAGGGTAGGAAAACTTACAGATTATAAAAATACAAATATGAACAAATGGTAACTATACAAAAAAAAATAAAAATAATAAAACATATTTACAAATAAGTACAAAATATATATTAAGTAGTCGTTATACGTTTTATTGAAGCAATGCTGCAGGAAAAAATATCAAGTGAGGAACCAATTTTATTATAGCAATTGTATATTCTATACAAAGGTGAGTGATTTTGTATGTTAGTCCTCGCAGTTGGTAAATAGAAAGAGGAATTTACTCTAGACGTAATTCTAGGTACAAGAAAGTTAATCATACTTAAGACCTCGGAGCAGTCAATAGCACTTATGACTTTGTGAATAAAAATTAATCCTGCAATGTCACGCCTATCTTCCAGTGATTTTACACAAAATCTGCTAAGGAGATTTATGTAGGGGTATCCGATAACTGGATAGAGACCATCTTCTTTAAAACTCAAATATTTCAAGAACCTACGCTGTACTCGTTCTAATGTGGTAATGTAAATATCATGTGAGGGACACCATATGACAGAATCATATTCTAGTTTAGAGCGTTCATAAGAATAATATAATAGTAACAGCATATCAATATCTTTAAAGGTCTTGGTATTTCTGATGACTAATCCCAACATTTTAAATGCTTCATTAGAAATTCTACTAACATGTGAACTAAAAGAAAGTTTACTATCAAATGTTAGACCAAGGTCCTTGAACTCAAAGGCTCTGGGAACAAATATATCAAAAATTGCGTAATCATGATAAATAACATTGTATTTAAGGGAAAATGAAACGATGCAGCATTTATTAGCATTTAATTGTAGATTGTTCTCAACACACCAGGTATGCACTCGGTCAAGTGCTGATGATTTGCAAAGTGCAAAGTAAAAAGATGCAAAGTACTTTTATGAAATAGGATCATGATCGAATTTTGAAATTTTTATATTTTCCCCTAATTTTGCCTCCCCTGAAGTAATAGCTAGTTGAGATTACTCGTCTTTTCCAATAAATAGATGAGTAAATAAAATAATTACAATTTCCATAGCCGACATCGCAATATCGAGGGCTTTTTACACTACCGAAACGTATAAAAATTGAGCTACTATAGTATTTACTAAATAATTGAACTCCATCATGATTTCTTCCGCTGGCTTTATTTATCTTTTTAAATGTTATGCGAGCCATTTACAACCAGTGCGATTCTGCTCCAATCCCTTAAGTCCCTCTCTGTCTTATATGTGCCTCTTACGGCTTTCCCTTTTCCAATACCAAGAATATTCGATAAAATAAGGCAACCTCTTAAACCACCCAAATATACGGCTATGGAACCCGACAGTCGCAATAAATGAACATTTTGGAATGCACTAGATCCGGAAATTGCAATTTTTGCCGAATACACTTACTTTGGTCCAGTATAAGAAATGGTGGCGGTATCTAGAATTTTCGAGATAGCTCTGGAGCGTAACATTTGTTTTGACATTTGAATGAGTTTTTAGATAAGATATCGATCAGTTAACATAAATGATGTAAAAGTAAACTAGTATATAAGTGTTTGAGTATAAATAAATTAAGCTGTAAAATATATTAGTTGAAACATTTGTTTTCTTTTCGTAATATATAGATAGTTTCAGTAGTTAGTTATTGTATTTTTATTCTAGTTGTCTTGTCTTATCTTATAGTTTCAAACTGACACATATGAAGTTTTGGTCCCTTGGTTTATTAAGGAAAATAATGATGACCCAAATATTTAAAAGCGCAGGGTACCGTGTATGGCCTAACTATAATAAACAATTTTGTTGCAAATAAACATACTAATTGTATCTTATTACAGGAACATTTAATATATATTTTTTTATTTGCATTTTAATATACAAAAACTAACCACCTTTCTAAGTAAAAACTGGATAAATTAGAAATTTTTATTTAAAATTGACGACTGCTACAAAAAAGTCGTGCGAGCCATTTTCAATAAATCCGGTCATGCTCTAAATCCTTAAGTCCCGCTCTGCCTTATTTGGGCCTCTTAAGGACTCCATGTTTCCGAGACCCAAGAACATTCGATAGAATAATTAACCTCCTCATGTTACGCCTATGAATAACGATAGACGAAGTGAATCATACGATCTAGAGTGTTCTGGAGTAATACCTAAATTAAAATTTTTGGCGAAGGCATTGTTAGGAATGTTCGCGAATCCGCAGGAATTCTCGAAGTAGTTCTACGTGGTTTGACGTTTACCCCCTCTCTACCTACCAAAAGCCTTTCCAACTTCTGCCCCTGCTACATTAAAACATTTTTTTATGTGCTAAAAATGTATTATTATCAGAAATAAAGTCTTAAATATTACCACTACCCCCAGACTTAAACTCTGGATACACCACTGCTTTAGGGATGTTAATTAATTCGTAAAATGTAATTTTTTGTGACAGTCGTCTACAAAATACGATTTTTCATATAAAATTATATTGAATTTTCTCGTATTTGTAATATCTTGAAAATTACTTATTCCAGGATTGTCGTTCGCCGGATCATAAAACTTTTTCCTTCATAAAAATAATTTTCTCAATAAATCATCCAAACCGAGAGCATTTATCGAACTCCGTAGGTATATTTTCCACCTTCACATACATTTTTAAATTCCACTTTCATATAAAAGTGGGTTAATACCTACCCAGAAATGTTCTAATGAAAATAAACCTATTTGCATCAGAAAAACATTTTCACAATACGGTTCGGAATTTGGAACAAACGATACACTTTTTTAATCTCCCAACAGAAATACATATTATATATCGCATGCCTGACCCAATTACAAAATAAACAAAAAATATGTAAATTTAAATGAAAAGCGCTGCATACAGGGCGAACAATCTATTATGTTAAAAATAAAATATAGTTACAATAGAAAATAATTATAAAATTGGTGAGGGTAAAAAAAATTTTTTTTCTACAGTGTGTAATTCGCTGCTGGACGTTGAATTATGTACGATTCTCTCACAAAAATGTCAATTCCTTGAAAAGTACCCTCTATAACATAGACAAACCATATATTAGAAGAATGGAAAAAAGATGAGTAAACAGAATCTAAAATAATATACTGGGGTTATCATTAAAAAAAAATATATGTTTGGTTCGTACATGAGCTATGCAACACCCTGTATACCTCCCAATAATTTTAAAATGTTAACCTCAAACATGTCCATAATTTTCTTAATACACTTTTTTAATATCTCTTTCAACAAGGAAGATATCGAACTTTTCCACAAGATTGGTCCATCCTGTATATTTCTCTACAACAGTTGTTACTCTGGCCCCAACGGTAATGTCGGTGTACCAGCATGTGTATCACTTGGCAGCTAAGGTGTTAAGAATATCGAGTATAATATGAAATTCACATTACTTTTGAGGACCTTTTGTGTTTGTACTTTGTACCTAACCTACCTATCTACCACGATGAATAACATCAATTATTCATCATGATCATCATACATATCGTGCTTATTCTACACCGTGTATTCTACCAATCAAGAAATTTGAAAAACGCCCTAGTATGCTGTGTACCTACTTGGTAGGCAATCTAAAATACAGCAAAGTAAAAAGTGTAGTACGAACTGTCAACAAAACTTATTTATAAACAGAAAATTTCCTATCAACTTTACAGTTTGATTTAATACTCTTGAGGTAAATGTAACGTGGCAGACGTGCGTTGAAATTATCGTTCTGTATGCGCAAATTTGTCGAAATTATACATGGGGCAACTTTTAATCAGTGTTTGATTTTCGGTTTTGTACAGTAGTACTAGTACAGGTGGTTATTTGTTGTGAAGTGCAGATATTTTGGATTCAGTTTTAGTGCATGGTTTATTAATTTAGCAGCCGTTTTCACAATAGGTAAACACACTTCCACAAATAATTTTTTATCAAAACAGTAATTTGTTAAGTTCATTTTGATCGTTTTTGTTTACTGTTAATGTGATTGGGTTATCTGTTTTTAATTTGAAAGATTACAAATGGTGATTGATATTTAGAAAAGAAGTCACATTTTTTTGATTAATTACTATGTTATTTATCTGGAAAGAGGTCAGAAAGAAATAACTAGTAAACATATGCAAAAAGTAATTAATAAGTACCTAAACAATTGCAGTAAAAATAGTCAAGTAGTCTACCTGTATATTTAAAAACTTGTTTATTTAAAATGGTGTATTATTTAGTTTTAATATTATACACACCTATTCTATATACCTATTTGCTCATTCTAAAAAAAAAAAAATAGGATTGTTTAAGGTTAATGTATACCAACCTTACAACAGTTTGGATTTTTAAAACAGGCAAGGTAAATTATTGTTGTAGGTACTCAATTCAGTTCCTATTTTCCTACATTATTGTAAAATGTTAAAATTAAATGTTAGGAGTAGGTAAATTCTATGGGTGGGTAGGTACCTAAATAAATCATCGTCATCTAAAATCTAAAATGTTTCCCCTATTTGTCGGTTTGTATTTTGTGCACGATTTGTCCAAGTTTTGTTCAAGTTTCTCCAACAAAAATTTTCGTTTGTCCACCCTTCAGAAAAAAAGTTATGACAAAATTAAAATTTTGAGCCAAATTTATCATCAGCACGACCTAAAAAACTTTTTTTTTAATTTCAAAGCAACATTTGGTTGACCAAAAGTTTCGTTTGTCAATCCCTCAGCCCTCATATAAGTCCCTTGTTCTTTTCCAAGTAGCTATTTATTCGTATTTGAACTAATATACATATTACGAATTTAATCATAGCTACACCTATATATAGTAAGTAAACAAAGTACGAGATAAATCGTAGTCGGCGTCCTAGCCAAAAATGCAAACTACGAGTTATCTCGTCTGTAATCTGTATCTGTAACGTGTGGAGGGTGGGTTAACCCACGGCACTTAGGCCCATTGTGCATCCTCCTAAATAGATAGGCACCCCCTAGCTCGTGAACCAGCGAGTTATCTCGTATTAGGCAGTCAACGTGTTAAGGACAACCTATAAATTCCATTTGAATTAAATACCTCAGTTCCACTATTTATTTTCATTTTTAGCCTTATTTTCGTTTGTCCTCCCAAAACAAATTAGTTATTAACAAAATATAACACAAAATATAAACAATCATTAACCTAAAGTACTTCTAATTGCAATTTATTAAAACTAACTACTGCAATCGTTTGTCTACACATTATTTTTGTTTGTCCGGTTATTATTTTCGTTTGTCCAGGCTTTATTTTCGTTTGTCCAGGCTTTATTTTCGTTTGTCCAAGCCTGAATTTTCATTTGTTCACCCAACGAAAATTAGGTCTTAATAAATAAATAACTCAAAATACATTATTTTCGTTTCGTTTGTCTATACATTATTTTCATTTCGTTTTTCCACAATTTACCCACATTTGTGAAACAAAAATTTTCGTTTTTTCACCCTTCAAGAACATTTGATCCAAATTTAACATCAACGTCGCCACAAAAACTTATTAATAATTTCAAAGTGACATTTGATTGTCCATCATTATTTGTCCTCGTTTGACGGTTTGACCAACTGAAAGTGTCGTTTGTTCGCCCCTCAAAACCGAGATATTTAAAAAATAAATAAGTCGGCACTGCTCCTCAAGGATAACCGGACAACCTCAATACATTTCATTCGAAATAAATTCGCTAAAATTGTTATTCGGCAAAACCTTTAGAAATAAATAAAAATTAATGTATTTATTGAAAAAAAAAAAAAAAAAATGGATTACCTAATTCAATTTGAATTAATAGTTAAAACAAGATAATCTTGCAGAAAAACGGGGATGAAACAATCACATTTAAAATGCGATTATAAATATATTTTTTATACCAACTATTAGGTTTTTATTAATTGATTAATTGATTATGGCCAAGCAATGATTTAAAATATATTTTTTTTGGTCTTTTTAAAGTTAGGTGTTTTGTTGTCAAACGACTATGAGAACAAAGAGACCAAAAAACACATTTAGCACGAGGTTACAAATACAATTTCTATACCAATAATTAAGTACATTACTAGCAATAAAATAAACAAAAAATCCTCTAAAAGACCTCTAAATATAGTTTTTAGGTATTTAAAGTTTAGAGGTCTTGCTATGTAATGGTTTATTATTTTTTTTGAATTATACTAATGTATGGAGTCATTCATACTAAAAATTATATCTGTATTTTTGTGCTAAATGTTGGTTTTTCTTATTTTGAAAGAGTAATGTTTATCAGCGGAACCGGGCATTTTTAAAACCCTAAAAAACGTATTTAGAGATCTTGCTATGTAATGATTTATCGTCTTTTTGAATGATACTTACGTACTGAATCATTTGTCCTAAAAATTATATCTGAATTTTCGTGCTAAACTCGGCTAAGTAAATATTGGTTTTTGATATTTTGATAGAATATAGTTTTTAGTTATTTAAAGTCAAGCATTTCCGCGGATAAATATTACTCAATAAAACCAACAAAAACAAATATTTAGCACGAGATTCCAGATGTAATTTTTAGGACAAATGATTCAGTACATTAGTATCATTTAAAAACACGATAAATCATTACAAAGCAAAACTTCTAAATATGTTTTTTTTTAAATGCGCCGTTCCGCGGATAAACCTTACGTTATCAAAATGACAAACAACAATATTTAGCACGAAAAGTCAGGTATTATTTTTAGGACAAATGATTCAGTACATTAGTATCATTTAAAAACACGATAAATCACGAGATAAATCATTACAAAGCAAGACCTATAAATATGGTTTTTTTTTTTATTTCGCCGTTCCGCAGATAAACCTTACCTTATCAAAATCACAAAAATCGATATTTACCAAAAAAATCCAGGAATAATTTTTAGGACAAATGATTCAGTACATTAGTATCATTCAAAAACACGATAAATCATTACAAAGCAAGATCTCTAAATATGTTTTTTTTTTTCTTAATTGCGCCGTTCCGCGGATAAACCTTACCTTATCAAAATGACAAAAATCGATATTTACCAAAAAAATCTAGGTATAATTTTTAGGACAAATGATTCAGTACATTAGTATCATTCAAAAACACGATAAATCATTACATAGCAAGACCTCCAAATACGTTTTTTAGGTCTTTAAAATGCGCGGTTCCGCGGATTCACCTTAGTTTATCACGCTGACAAAAACCAATATTTAGCACGAAAATCCAGGTATAATTTTAGGTATAATTGTAAAATAGGTGAATTAAAATAAAATATTGGACCATTTTTGTACTGATCTCGATTTGAATATATGCAAGTAGCTTTGCTATATTTTTTATTAAGCTAATACATACCTTTTTAATAGTTTTGTGCGTAACGACACTTTAACGTGTTCGAAGTGACACTTATTGGTATTATCTTTGTATCAAGTGAATGTTAAGGTTTATGAGCCCATTGACACTTTGTTTAAGGAGTACAGAGATACTAATATCTAATTTTGTGCTTGTTATTGTTAAGGTTTTGTGCCTAGTTCAATTATTGCCTAGTGGCAGGCTTTATTATTCTTTACTTTGGTAAGTTTTTAGAGGTCTTGCTATGTAATGGTTTATTATTTTTTTTTAATTATACTAATGTATGGAGTCATTCATACTAAAAATTATATCTGTATTTTTGTGCTAAATGTTGGTTTTTCTTATTTTGAAAGAGTAATGTTTATCAGCGGAATCGGGCATTTTTAAAAACCTAAAAAACGTATTTAGAGATCTTGCTATGTAATGATTTATCGTCTTTTTGAATGATACTTACGTACTGAATCATTTGTCCTAAAAATTATATCTGAATTTTCGTGCTAAATATTGGTTTTTGATATTTTGATAGAATAATGTTTTTCCGCGAAAAACTATATTTAGATGTCTTGCTATTTAATGATTTTTTATTTGTTTTATCGCTAGTAGTGTACTAAATTATTGGTATAAAAATAGTATTTGTAATCTCGTGCTTAATGTGTTTTTTTGGTCTCTTTGTTCTCGTAGTCTTTTGACGACAAAACACCTGACTTTAAAAAGATCAAAAAAATATACTTTAAATTATTGCTCAGCAATAATTTTTTGTTTAACCAATTCTCAAAATCCTAATGAATATTTGGTATAAAAATTATATTTATAATCGCATTTCAAATGTGTTTGTTTCTTCCCCGTCTTTCTGTAAGATTATCTTGTTTTAACTAATAATTCAAATTAAATTAATCCATTTTTTTTTCAATAAATACATTAATTTTTATTTATTTCTAAACTTTCATGATACTAATGTACAACTAAAGATTTTGCCGAATAACAGTATCAAAACATTAAGGGACCGCCGCCGCGCGGTTTGTCTGCTAGTTCAGCCTCATTTTTCAGGCCTTATTTTCATTTGTCCTGGCCTTATTTTCGTTGGTACAGGCCTTATTTTCGTTTGTCCACCAAAAAGAAATAGTACTTCTAATAGCAATTTATTAAAACTACTGCAATCGTTTGTCCACACATTATTTTTGTTTGTCCAGGCCTTATTTTCATTTGTCCACCCAACGGAAATTAATTATTAACAAAAAAAGAACGCAAAAATTAATAATTTATCAAAGTATTTTTAAATCGAATGGCAACCGTTTTTCCACACTTTATTTTCGTTTGTCTCGGCCTTATTTTCTTTTTACACTCAACGGAAATTAGTTATTAATAAATAAAGAACTTAAAATATGAACAATCTTTAATGTAAGTTCTTCTATTTTATTAAAACTACTGCAATTGTTTGTCCACACTTTAATTTCGTTAGCCCATGCCTTGTTTTCGTCTGTCCAACGGAAATGAATTATTAACAAATAAAGAACTCAAAATATAAACAATTAATAATGTAAGTAACAAAAGAAAACATCAAAATATAAACAATTT